TAATGTTAATACCCAAAATCCTGTTTTTGTAATATTTAAACCAGTACTAGATTTAGAGCGCGAGAAATTATATCAAAATATTATAATATATCCTAAAATATTTATAATACTTTTTATTATTATTATATTTATTAACTAATTATTTCGTTTCGTATGATTTACGATTATAATTCCAAATCAGAAAAAAATCTGGCTAAGTGGGGACTAAGGGTTTAACTTGAATCATTTCAAAATCGATAGAAATGTCAAATTTGTTTATCTTAATAATAATTATTAGTTTGTTATTTCGAAAAATTTCCGCGACTGGGATATCTAATCAGAAATCCAACTGACAGTAAAAATGATGAATTTACCGAACTAGTCTTTGATTAAAACAAATAAAACCACTACTATAAATCCCGTCGACATATACGTTATAATTTTGTATTAGCTGAGATTTGAACACATTTTTTGCAAATAATGGAATAATACCTTGTGGGAAATACGTTCGTATGTACACGTTTTAATATATTGTCATAAATTAAAAACGACATAAAATGGTAGACACATATAATATTCATAGATTTATCACTGTTACATCTTATCTATAAAATGATCGATAAAACATTAGTGGACATTTAACCCTGCTAATGCTTCACTATACAAAATAGTCCAAGCATTCTGTCACGGATTAATGTTAAATTTGCAGAAATGATTACCTGGACAAAAAAAATATGACCGTATAGAAAATAAAATTTTAAATTGAGTTTCTTGTTCTTTAAACTCGATCCAAAATGGCGAACATGGTTAAAAAAATATCGCAGTTGCAAGAAACGGTTTTTCTAAAATAACTAAAAAAATATAGCACCGATTGAAAAATTTAAATGATAAAGTTGTAGGTTTTAAAAAGATCTATGTACAGATTTTTTGAAAGTTATCGATTGCTTTGTTACTTTTCGAGATAAATCGAAAAAACCGTTAAAAATCTTCTCTTTTGTCTTCTGCTATAACTCGTTTACATCTACGCTACCATACTTGCTATTTACTGCAATCATAGCCCACGGCAAGCCAAAAAAGTAAATTTTTGAAAAATTTAAAAATATTAATTATTTTTCGAAATATATCGATTTTTTGAAAAAAAAGCGCTCTCGAAAATTTGCTAGATCTCCTCAGCGGATAATCCTACAGTGACGATTTTCGGTTTATTTTCTTCGTAAAATAAAAATTGAAATAGTTATTTGAAAAAAACATACCAAAAACAAATTGCAACTTTTTCAAAGTCATTTCTTGATCCTTAAAATTAATAAAATCCTCAACATTTTTTAACAGCATGATAATATGACTCTTTACGAAGAAAATAAACCGAAAATCGTCACTGTAGGGCTATCCGCTGAGAAGATCTAGCCAATTTTCGAGAGCACCTTTTTTTCAAAAAATCGATATATCTCGAAAAATAATTACTATTTTTAAATTTTTCAAAAATGTACTTTTTGGCTTGCCGCGGGCTATGCTTGCAGTAAATAGCAAGTATGGGAACGTAGATGTAAACAAGTTATAGAAGAAGAGAAAAGAGAATATTTTTAACGGTCTTTTCGATATATCTCGAAAAGTAACAAAGCATCGATACTTACAAAAAATCAGTCGATAGATCTTTTTAAAACCTACAACTTTCTCATTTAAAATTTTTCAATCGGTGCTATATTTTTTTAGTTATTTTAGAAAAACCGTTTTTAACCATGTTCGCCATTTTGGATTGAGTTTAAAGAACAAGAAATTCAATTTAAAATTAAATTTTCTATACGGTCATATTTTTTTGTCCAGGTAATAATTTCTGTAAGCATTTCTCTATAATGCTTGGACTAAAAAATTAACAAAAGGGCAGCCACTGTGATCTTTAGTTTTCTTGTAAAATCTCTCCCTTTAACATATCCGCTACAGAACTGAGGAATGTGTTCCCTGCAAAATTATTCGCTTTTGAAAAAAGTACCGAAAACAGAGGAAATGGGCTTTAGGACTGCATCTTGAGAAAAAAATCACTACTAAAAGGCGATTAAGGCGGTAAATATACTAGGTGAGTAGGGAGAATCAAACTAAATTTCATGAATGGTCAAAATAATAAGAAAAACTCGTGTTGTTGTGTGATTTTCATTTGATCTCAATTTGAAATCAGGGTATGACATGTCCCAAATTCAAAAGTAGGATCACACATTTGTACCATCAAAGTGTTACAAAATGCCTAGAACTTGTTCAAATTTAGAGTGTGTAAATAAATATGGTCAACGGTTTCCACAGTACAGATGCACTGATAAAAATATATTTTTCAGAGTTTTCAACAAACTGTGCGAAACCGGAAAACTTCCCAGTGCTAGTACAATCATCTGAATGAGCACAAGGACAAGGTTTGGAAGAAGTAGAAATATTCTGGGTCTAGCAAAAAATAATGCACCTACCAGCTCACGAACAATTGCTATTCAATTGGGCACTCCACAAAAAATAGTAATAAAAACTCTCCACGAGCAAGGCTTATATCCATACCAAGTACAGAGAATACAACACCTATAACAACCGGTTATGCTGAGTTTTGGATCAATAATAACACCGGCCAACAAAAAAAAAGTTATGTGAACTTTACATGCGGCATATGATTTCCTGTGTATTTTTGTCTCCTGAGCACGAATCCATAGTCTGTTTTGCTCCATCATCCTTCAATTTTTCAGAAAATCGCTGAATACTCGTAATTTTCAGCATAGTTTTCGGTAAACGCGTGGTGTGGTATGATCGACAGTTATTTATATTTTAGAGAATCGACTCACAAGAGACCACTACTAAAATCTTTTACAAAATGAATTACAAGTAGGTATTACATGAGAAAGCGAATGTAATACCAGCATGATGGAGCTCCTGCACAGTTCACCCGTCCAGTCAAGCTACATTTCAACGAGAGGTTTCTGGAGCATTGCGTTGGATTGGCCACAGTAGTCCTATTAGTTAGCATCCAAGATCTCCAGACCTCAAAGCACTAGATTACTGTTTATGGGTCTGGTTCAAAAATGAAGTGTACAAAGAGTGAACACCCGGGTGGACTAATTGGGCGTATCATCAATACTGCAGAACCCTGTATTTCAATATTTTCATATTTAGAAAAAAGAAATACCAAATTTGTTTTTCAGATGTACCCAAACAAATAAGGGTGACAAGCTCTCTGATAAACTTTGACAGATGGTAGATGGGTTAATTTCAAACATTTTTTCTTATATGAACATAGGTCTCATTCCTTTTTGTTTAGAAGTTTCAAACATTTAAAAAAATATAATTTCATATTTTAAAGTAGCCTGATAAATAAGTGATGGTTTCAATACTATCTGGTTTTTTTCTTTAGACGGAATCAATAACAACGGATGCGGTAAAAACGAAGAAAATGTATTTTGTGAGCCAAACAAGGATGATAATTATCTCTCTAATCTGTTTGCTCATTAAATGTCTGTCCTATTGTTTATCACGATTTCTGTTATCTGTATATTGTTAAAACATCCAATATATGTATTCGATGTAGATATTAAAGTCTATTCAAATGGAATAACTTTGTGGTGAAACATTTATCGCAAGGGAATTAGTTTTTCATAAACACTGTCTCGATTGTGATGTCATTGATTTTGCTTTTGTTCATCAACCGTTTTACATTTTTCTACACTTTGAACACATTGTGTATCAAAATCTAAATTTTTCTATGGTGAGACGATATTTTGACAAGCCAAAATTTTATTGAGAACTTGAAAAAAGAATAGGTTTTATTTTATATACAATGTCTCTTATTGGAACGAGATTATTATATGCTTGGTGTAAAAAGTAATACACTGTAAAACGTATTAATTTATATATATTTTTTATTATTATTTAAGCAACGTTGCATATATTTGATAGCTCAGTATTAATCTCTTTAAATCAAGTATCAGCCCTCGTTACAAAAATTTCAATGATCAGTGTGGCAAGTGGCAAAAAGTAATGCTTAATAAATCAAAAAAGCTGATTTTATTACAGTCGATAACGAATTGCCACTGTAGACTGAACGGGGAGATATAAAATTAACTAGACATAAATTATGTCAACCTATAGGTTGACGTCGACTACACTGATTCTTCAAAGGCGTTTAATAAGCTAGATCATTAAACCAATTAAATCAATTCAAAATATCATCTACCTTCCTGTAATTTTGATTTCTTATCTATAAGAAAGAAATTTCGGCAACTTCCGGAGTTCTACAGGGCTCCATACTGAACCCCCTTTCATTTATAAGTTTTGTTAATGACATTGCGGTTGCTAATGATATGAAACTTTATTGGCCTATAGAATCTAGAAATGGTTGTTTCAGAATAATTGACTCAAATGCAAGAATGGCATCTCAAAAACAAGCTTAAGCTGAGTATCGGCTGAATAAGTGTTATATTGTGTCCAGCCATTGAAATAATCATGCCCTTGGAATATGACCATAAACTAATAGGATCTACTCTTACTTGTCCTGAATTGTGTGACCTGGGTATGACCTTTGATCAAAAATTGACATTTACTGAGCATATTAAAACTAGATAGCAGTTACCCTCTATTGGAATAACTCAAAATAATCTTCTCAGAAGATTTTCATTACTTAACTTAGAGGATTGTCGTAAGAAATAATCTCTATTATTTCAATACAATATAATTATTGACAATAAATAAGATTATCCAGAGATTATCTGAATCTTAATGAAAATCATCTCCAATCTTTGACAAGGATGAAATGAAAAAGGTATTAGAAAATTGTTTTTTTTTTAGTTTTTCTAAGATACTTCAATGCTCGATTCAGAATTTCAGTGTAAGTCTGATTTCAACTATTTAGTTATCTTGTATAGATGCATTTTTTATCTTTGTGACATTTTACTCCATTATATTGTCTTAACCTTTAATAGCCTTTACCGTTGGTTGAATTATCTAATAACCATATTAAATAAAATGATTAACTGAAAGGTAAAATAGAGAAATTTTTATATTTATATCTATTTATTGAAATTTTCAATACATTAAATAATTCCAGGTCTTGACAAACATTCTTTGTGGCTTAAAAATATATTACACACATTCTTATTTACTTTTATTTCCTAAAAACTTTTAAGTATTGTAAATCATCCTTCAAATTCGCTTCACCAAACATCACACAACCTGCGAAACTTCACTTAACATCCTCACGTACTGACATTAAACATGAATATCATTTTTGTTAGATTCATTTAGTCCATGGTTCACGTGACGCTCATAGGCCTGAGAAAATTCACTGTCATCGGCAATGCTGAGGTCCCTGATAGACAAGCGACTCTTCTTTCGCTTTCTCACTTCTGCTAGAGGAGGCATCTTGGCCTTAGTCAGTAGGTGAGGTCCTAGGAACGTCGTCAGTAGAGCCCCTATAGGTGCGGTCACCACAATGGATAAGATACAGGTGGTTACAATTTTTTCCGCGTAGGTGTATTCTTCGGTGCCTGGTTCCACGTACTCCAAAGCAATTGGACCCAGTGCAGCCTGAAAGTAATAATAATTAGTAAGCGTTTCTAAGAGTAAATGGTGGTGTTTATGGTTGGGATTTGGAAATTTAAAATGTTCACCTAAATAATCACATTTGGACAAATTTTGAAAAAATTATTTAATTTCGAAGAAGTAGATCAAGTCGTTAGAATAATTCTTAATATCGGAACTGAAGCCTTTGGTGAGGATATATATATAGGTATATTTATATACAGGGTGGCCAAATGAAAACGAAACAGAGCCATTTTCAGGAACTGCGTCAAGATTGTAGAAAAACGCTCAGACCCGTCGACTTTAGATTAAAGGGGGACATTCTTTGCTGATATTTTTGACTCCGCCACTTTCACCCCCAAGTAAGGGTAAGCATCACCCCAAAATATTTAATTGGCATTGGGGATTGAGTAAAATTTCTTTTGAAAGCTCTTACAATTCTCTTTACAACCGACTTTAAATTTTATAATTCCACCCAATACATTGAAAAAAATACATTTTAAAATTTAAATTATGTTTAGTTGCTTACTTACTACTTTATTAATTAAATGATCAAACTGATGACCGCCCGCTTCCATACAAGAATAAAGATTTTGTTCGAAACGTTCGCGCACATTCCGAAGCATTTCCGGAGCGATTCGACGGCATCGTCTCGACGATTTTTTGACGCAAATCTTCCAGCGACGCTGGCTGTGTTTTATAGATTTTACTTTTTAGGTATCCCCACAAAAAGAAATCAAGGGACGATAAATCCAGTGATCGTGGAGGCCACTTAATGCTGCCTCTTCTCCCAATCCAATTTCGTAGAAAATGTTGGTCCAAATAGTGACGGACAATTAACGCGTAATGCGGAGGAGCACCGTCCTGTTGAAAAATCAAATAATCTTCATCATACTGTGGAACATTTTCAATAATATCAGTCAAGGCAGGGCCAGTAGCGTCTTCCAGTAATTGCAAATACATTTGGCCAGTCAAATTACCAGGTAGAATAAAAGGACCCACCAGCCGGTCACCGAAAATTCCCGCCCATACATTTAGTTTTTTCGGTTGCTGTGTATGCACCTCGTGAAACACTATTGGGCTTGAATGTGGCAATTGTGACGATTTACCGTCCCATTCAAGAAAAAACTGCATTCATCAGGAAAACACAAGTTAAAAAGGAACTGCGGATCGTTCCTTGCTCGCTCACTCATTATTTCGCAAAATTGCAAACGGCGGTCATTATCATCTTCATGAAGTTCCTGGACTAAATATATTTGGTATGGATGGAATTTATTCTTCTTCAAATTGGTTTGTATGCCAGTTCGGTTGATCCCAGACACAGATGTCAGCTGCCTCGTATTTAATGTAGGATCAAAACGAACTTGTCCCAAAACTGCACTAGCTTCATTAACTATAGGTTTTTCAATTTCTCGTTTTTTATTGGCTACGTTCCCTGTCTCTTGAATTTTTTTTACTAATTCTAGAACATACTTCCTCATGACATGTCGATCTTGATGTTGTTCATTAAATAGCTGAGCTGTTCTATTCGCACATTCATTGTTCATAAAGTAAAGCGAAATGATATCTACCCTTTCCGCAGTGGAGTAAATCATAGTGTTTAATTTTCAAAAACACAAATAAACTACCAACCAACGCTTCCAAATAATAGTAGAAAATAATTTGGAATCCACTAATTTTACGTTCATTGTGTGTGTAGCATTCATTTCTGTTTTTTACAATTGTGTTTTTTTACGAAAGTGATAACAAATCGCCAAAAACCAATGTAACGCAAGAAATACTAAATTTATACCATTGACGTACTTAACTCGAATGACTGACATTTTTACCGTTACTAATTGTTTGTACATAAGTTTCAACTTTAAAATCAAAATTCTTAATAAGTATTGGGCGGAATTATAGAATTTAAAGTCTGTTGTAAATAGAATTGTAAGAGCTTTCAAAAGAAATATGTCTTGGAAGTGATAAGGTCACCAATCCAGTTATGAAGGAAGAAGATGGAAACCCAATGGAGCAAGCTCATAATGAGGCAGATGTGGAGTAACCTTCCGACTGAGCTTCTAAATAGCCACTTTTGTGATGTTATAACTCAAAGAAGTCATTTCGAGTATTTTCTTCGAAATTGCTACCTCGTGAACACGGATTTGTTGAAAATAAACCTCAGCAGTAATGGTTACATTCCCTGAAACAGCTTACCAACTGGTCTCCAATGTTTTGTCCTACAAGACAACTCCAAACTTCTTACAGCTGTTACAACAAAGCATAAGTTGAAGCAATCGAATATCTTAGCCGCTTTGTAGTCCGGATTTATATCCGTGTGGCTATTCTTATTTGAGTCGCTAAAGTAGTCATAGGAAGGATATGTTTTGAGGACGCAACCAATTGCTAACAAGATCTTTTTTTTTTATTTACTCGGTAAACATTAGATAAAGTCGACAAAAAAAAATGATAAATTTCTACTGTTATGACAAGCATGAAATTAAAATAATGCTTCGTGACTTGCTCCAACCAAGTTCATAAAACAAACTGACTCGGTTTTAGAATTAACTGACATATGACTTTATATCTGTTGTAATATAAAAAGCTGCAACTCATTTAAAACCGCAGCTGCGTTAATACTAATGCCAACAGTTGCATAAACCCTCTAATCCACACCGTTTTGCTGAATTATAAATTGTTTGTCTAGAATTTTACGGCTTGGAACATACAATTTTAATTATTACATCACGGAAACGCTGCATTGTTATTGGAGAAAAGGAAGATTTTGACATATTATTCTGTGAATGCTTACAAATAGGGTTATTATCTTTATGAGTTCACATCCTCCGTAGTAGATGTGTCCATCGCTGTTGATGCGTTAACAAATTGAAATAAAAAAAAATTGAGTCGCTGTAAACTGTCGTGACTGAATTATTATTACAAGCAAGTGAAATAAACTATTAACCAAGTAAAACGTTTGACGGCGGGGTGGCAAGTTCCGACGTACTTTGGCATTTCACTCTCACTTGTGATATATGACCTTTTGTCCAACACTTGCAGTTTTTTAACGAAAAACAAAGTTGAAGAGTTGAGTGTATTTTGAATAGTAAAGCAATCAAATATAGGTTGTCATGAATAGCTGTTGATAAATAACAGATTTTGATTGTTGTTACGACAATTCCTCACGCTGTAATTCCATTAAAAACAGATTCGTGATTAGTAAAGTGATAAGTAGCCACCGAAGTCTCCTGATTTAATATCAATTAACAGTTTTTACAATTTTAAGGATAGAGATGATATGTAATGAATGAGAACAGCAAAAATAAAAATCATTTTGAACTGCTTTTTTTTCTAGTTTTTCTTGTGGTGATTGTAATTTACGGCATTGCTACAGAGGTAACCGTATTTGGTTCAACATTTTGAAGGAAACATATTGCGGAATTTAAATGTTGCGCGCGGTAGGGTACACTGTAATAAAATATAAGTCCGGAGCCAGATAGAGCCCTTGTCGTCTCTGGAAGCCAATATTTTCTTCCTTTTATTGCGTACATGATACATGGAAAGGTCAGGAGAAAAATGTAATATACATTCCTTCCGCTGAGAGTGGAATGTCTGGATGGGTACATGTAAATAATATAAAATTGAACGGTTTTCGTTTTATGATAATGTTATTAAAAGAAAAATATAAGACGCCTGTTTTATTTAATTTAATGTAATCATGTATGTTCGCTTATGTAAAATATACTACAGAAAACTTTGGTATGAATAATTAAACCTTTGTTTTAAGCCGGGTTTACACTGACGCGAACAGAGTTAGCTGCTAACTATGTTCGTCAACAATATTTACGAACACGTTAGCAAAGTTTCAATGTTTACTAATCACATCAACAATTTTCACACCCAAAAACCAGACCTCACGTGGCCGAAGGTTTTTGGTGCGTAGAATCCGAATCTGGCGTCAGAATTGCTCCTATACGTCACGTATCCGAGATATATTGAATGAAGTTAGGTACTTTAGCGTTTTTGTAACAGTGGTTTTTCGGAAAGCGGAAGTAATTTATTTACATGTTTTTTGGATCGTCCAATCCAAATCTGATCTCCAAATTATTCTATCGTTTATGATTCTGAGATTTCTTAACCTAAAAGTGCAAAATCAACGATTTTAGGATGAACTATCGGTATGAACCAGACAGGTTGATTTTGCAGTTTTAGGTTAGGAAATCTCAGATTCCTAATAGTAATAATTTGGAGGTCAGATTCGGATTGAGCGACCCAAAGAACATGTAAATATCCGTTTTCTGAAGAACTTTTTTCGATTTTAGTACCACTGTTATAAAAACGCTAAAGTACCTAACTTCATTCAATGATATCTCCGCGAATAAAAAAAGATTTTTCATATCTGAAAAAAGCGTTTTGAAGGGTAAGAGTAGTAGTTTTAGAGGGCGTGATTCGTTTTTAGAAAAAAAAATTTTTCACTTTGTGATATAAACTCAAATACAGCAGAAAAACGTGTTTTTTGCACTTTTAGGTTAGGATATCTCAGAAACGTGATGTATAGGAGCAATTCTGACGCCAGATTCGGATTCTACGCACCAAAAACCTTCGGGCAAGTGAGGTCTGGTTTTGGGTGTGACCTTTCGTAAAATTTTGTTGCCCTGTGATTCGTACTAATTTTGTGCCCAAGCAACTAAGAAAATTCAATGTTTCATATGTAGATGTTAAACTTCTGAATGTTACCACAATCTCTGCTAAGTAGGTATTTTTTTGGATCATTTCCTAAAAGAATATTTGTAGTATACAAGAAAATGCAGTGGTTATGTGGAGAGAAAAATTGGAAGTAACTAAATTATTTGAAAAACCACGACTGCTTGTAAAACATTGTAATAAAATTATAAAAATGCAGTAAAGAAAAAAGACTTTTGGTATGAGCAAGGAATTTGAAGCTAATTGGTAATTGCTGAAAAAGTTTAAAAGAAATGAAGTCTTTTCTGGTAATGTAGCCTAGAGAAAAACATTAGAAAATGTCAGGAAGTAATCTAATTTGTTAATGTTTTTAGAATTAATATGAAGTAGTTGAACATGTTTAAAGTAACGTAAAATTAAACTTTAACAAAATAAATCCAAAAGTAATATCAATGAAAAAGTCATGTTTGTTGTCTTTAAACTGTCGATTAAAATTATTTTTGAAATATTTGTTTTGAAATTCTATACGGATTTTGAAAAGAATCACCAATAATCTTAAAAATATTGTTTTGGTTACTCAATATTCTTTCTAGAATAGGAATTCTGATGAGCAGCTTTGATCCAATTAAGTTTATAGACGTTCAAAGTCTGTTAAAGATATTTTTCTGTAGCTTTTATAACGTCTATGTTTTCGTCATAAAATGCAATAAAATATCTACTAATAATTTTTTAAAGTTTTCAGCTTTTATTATATAATTCGACTATGGAGTATCAATAGTTTTTCCCTAGATTGACTTTGTGATTATTTTGTAATTATTATTTTTTCTTTAACGTAGAATATCATTTTATTCCATTCTATATAGGAGGTTAGTAGATTTATTTTTAATGAGAGGAACATAATTTTACGTTCTTGATACACAATATTCAATTAATGGATAAGTTGATTTGGGTTCAAGGGCCCTACGTAGCTAGTGAAGCAGTAAGCCCAAACTAATAGCAAATTTGATAAACTCATTTGCCGTATAATATTCAATTTATAATCGTTTGATTATACCGAATACCTACCTAATTTATGACGTTATTATGAATGTTGGTGAAACGGCTAAAATTGATAGAAGACAAATTCTTTGAAAGCTCGCCTTTGAATGAAAGTTATGTTGTCAGGTGACTGTTATTATTAGCTTTTATCATTTATGCAACTAAAAATACTACCGATATTACAATGTTAATGGGATCGCAAAATCCACATCTTGAATTTGAAAATCTTACACTGGAATTAAAATCAGTTTGTAATTATGAAAAATGAAAAGTATAAGCGTGGTTCTAAATACATTGATGAAAAAACCGACAAACAGTTCAGCTATTTAGATGTCTATCTCTTGACATGTATTGAATGTTGAGGTAAAGCCTATCTCAAATTTCAATCTTTCCTATATTGACCAGGAGATGTTTGATTGGTCGTTTTACTTCCATTTTGTCTTTACTAAACCTAATTTGTAACATCTGCATGAGAATATGTCATTTATTTTATATATACAGGTGTATCATCTGATGCATCTTCGCATATAATGTTTGAAATAAGCACTCTCATAAGTTTAATTTCTTAGTGTTACTTGCAAGATTAAAGGAGATAACGCATTAGGAGATCACAGTCCCGTCGCATGGTGGACCATGCTAGTCTCGATCGCACGCGGTGGAGTTCCTTCCAATGTTTTATAATGTACTAGCAACCCGCCGCGGCTTCGCACGGGCAAATATAAAATAGCCTATGTTACTCCCAGGAGATGTAGCTTTCGGTAAAATTGGTTGAGTAGTTTTTGAGTTAAATCGTAACAAACAAAAAATCAATCATCTTTCATCTAATGCGACCCTAATATTAATTTTAAAATAATTAAAAAATGCAAAACCTTTAAATTTAAAACAATATAGGTAACTACCAACAATGTGAAAACAAAACGAATTAAATTAAAGTACCTATGTTCAGGACTATCAATTTTAATTAATAAGTAAGTAGTTAGGTATCTAACTACCTAAAGAAAACAAACACGAAACAAAAATGCGACTATGAAGTTTTAAATGATTCACAATAAGAAAAAAACAAACAAATTATTAAAACTCAATGAAATAAAAGTATGTTTGCAAGTATCTATGTATGTTCCGACTACCTAAAGACAACAAATACAAAACAAAAATGTGACCTTAAAATATCGAACGCAATTATAACTTTCCAACAACACCCAGAAAGAAAACACAGTCGTCAGTCGTCACCTCCATTCGCTCCAAGTCAGTTTATTAAAGGATCACGCGCGCGTTATCGTTCGGCTTATTAGCTAAACAGTAGGCAAGACGGTGCGGGGGGAGGGTCGGCGATCGCATCAAGCGAAGCGAGGCGCTTGAATTTTATTCTCGCGTCCGTAATTTTTTTGCGATTACTCCTAAGATATTCATTTAAATTATATGGTGTAAAAGAGTAAAATAATGTGCATGAAATGCTTAAAGCCTCTAACTTATTTAAAATGATAAGGATTAATACCGTATTTGTGTAAATAGCTTTTACATTACCGCTTTATAATTGCCAATTTTTTAAAGTATTAAAATGGATATAGGTAGTATGTTATCTTTAACATATAGACATATGCCATCGCGGACTTTTCTGTAGGCATATATAAGATACACAATTCCACCATACATTGATACACTACATAAACTTTCGGACCCCCCCGGCTCGGACGCGAGGCGCGGGGTCACGGGGCGCCCGCGCGGCCCGGTCGAATCACGGCGACACGAAATTAATTTCGTTGCGCATTATTTTGATTTTGCTATATCTCCTAAGGTATTCATTTAATTTGCATGGTGTAAAGGGAAAAAATAATCTTCATGAAATGCTCAAGCCAACTAACGTATTTAAAATGATAAGGATTAATACCGTATTTGTGTAAATAGCTTTCCAATTACCGCTTTATAATTGCCCATTTTTTAAAGTATTAAAATGGATATAGTATGTTATCCTTAAGAGATAGACATATGCCATCGCGGACTTTTCTGTAGACCTATATAAGATACACAATTCCACCATACATTATTTTGTTATATCTCAAAGGGTTTAGGCAGCGTTTTCGTTGAAAGCTCCCAGACGGCTTATTTTTTTCCGACACCTCCAACAAATATCGTTAATGTATACAAAAACTTAACAAATTATATACTAAAACCTTCCTCGAGAACCACTCTATCCATTGGTGAAAACAACATGAAAATCGGTGCAGTAGTTTTTGAGTTTATCGCGAACAGACAGACAGACAGACGCGGCGGAGGACTTTGTTTTATAATATGTAGTGATGCATTCGCACTAGACATTCCCGAGCTCGTCTCGCTCACATCGCTTGCTCCTTCGACCTTTTGCAAAGAATCTTAGGAGAACGCGATGTGATCGAGACGAGCTTCCTCTTCCATAGAACTATTTTTTTTAACTACTAAAACAATACCGCAACTATTTAAAGGAGAGCGCGAGCAGGATTGTGTGCAATTGCCAAATTCGACTGATTTTGTAAAAGACCGTGATCAGCTGAGCCCAGAACGAACCACGATGCAACGGGACCGACGACTTTAAGAGAGGTCATGATCATAGTAATTTCACTGTATTCAGCAAGAGCAGACCCATATAGTTTTGGAATTGCAGTCTTAATCTGCATAATATTAGGAATAGGTGCTTTGAGAATACACTCAGTTAAGACCAAAAGAAGCTTGACGAAAAGAGAACTACTCACGAAAGTATATTTACAATTTATTACAGTATTCATGAACTGACGGAAATATAGAGATCATAGGTAAATTTTACTAATGACATCGTATTCAATACCTTAAAATACTACGAAAACAATATATTTAGGCAAAAATTAGATACCAAACTCTTTACTTTGAAGTTGACAGAAGTATTTATTTTCTTACCTGAACGATAGCTTTACACATCCAAGGTATGGAAACGAACACCTTCTCTTTCAAGTTCAAGTTGCACCCAAAACCTGCTAACACCGTAGACAGAATTTTCAAACACACGGAGGCTACTATAATACCCACACTCGCTCCCACCACACTCATGTCCAGCTCGTTGAACTTGATCCTGGAGCCGGTGATGCCGAACAGGATGGGCTGGATCACGAGCCAGAAGATTTCAAAGGCCGTCGCCGCGGGGTTCTCGTCCACCTCCCAGTTCTGCCTGGACCAGAACGCTATGGCCACGAAGGCTGCTGTGACGCAAGCGAGGGGTCCGGCGCCGCCGTAGCCTATGAGTTCGCTGCCCAGAACTGATGCAGTTCCGCCGGCTAGTAGGAGGAGGATCCTCAAGGGGGCCATGAAGGGATCGTGCCTTTCCGGGAAGTAGTTACATATCACGCCCCATGCCACTCCGAAAGCGATTCCTGAAATGAAAAAGAGGATCCTCGTTATACAGGGTGATTCAGTCATAATGTCATTAATTTTAACCACGTATTCGGAAGGCTTAATAAAGACAGAAAATCGGAAAAAAAAATTTTTTACTCGACTTTTAAAAATGAAGGAAATCAACCCATAACTCCCGCTACGAGGGCTGCCCTGCCGATGCCCGGATGCTCGGAAAATTTTGTAACGTAATGTCACGAACAGTTGTCGGCTAAAGGAACAGCGTTGCCAAGTTCAGGTTCAAGCTCGCCAGGTTAGTATTTGACATATAACCGACCACTTCGTACACTCGATGCACCTGGGCGACTACAGCTACTACGAAAACAGCCGGTATTTTAGATTTTAAATTAAATTTGTTGATACGATTTTCCTTTGATAAAAGACCGACAACTTTTTGCTACTACACTCGTATTAGTCTAGGGGCTAGGGGCCAGATAGGTTTCCGTAGCCAAACAGAATTCCACGGCTGCAAATAACTTATTTTTAAGTATTTTGACTTCTCGAAACCAAAAAACTTGGTGGCAAAGCCTGAAAGTGGTCAGTTTAATTGTTGTTAACAAATTGAATGTTTAAATGGCTGTAAAAAGTTTATTTTTATAGCTAGTACAATTTTTTATCTGTTAATTATTACGTTTTCTCACAACAAACATATATTTTTTTGAAAATTAAAAAAAGATTAACTTTAACCAAAGTTATTGCAAATTTAGTGCAAATATATTACATTTTCCGTCTCTGCGCGCACCAATTTTACCATATCTCTGGTTCAATTGGACGGATTGAGACGCACATCTCATTTTAAAACTTAAACTTTATTTTACAAGATAGGTAAGTTCCATTGATTAATTAATTTATTTAAAAATTAATGGCAGCTTAGAAAGTTGTGGAATTTCAACGAAAATGTTGGCTTTATTGGTTTATAAAACTTTTTTTGTTATTCAATTTTTATGAAAAGCCAAAAAAGTTACCGGTTATTGTTCCTCGCATCCTAACAATGATTTCATGCCTTGCTTGATTGTTAGAATGCAAAGAACAATATCCGGTAACTTTTTTGGCTTTTCGTCGAAGTTGAATAATAAAAAAAACCTTATAAACAATTAAAACCGGCATTTTCGTTGAAATTTCACAACTTTCTAAGATGCCATTAATTATTAAATAAATTAATAAATAAATGGAACTTAGAACCAGATATGGTAAAATTAGTGCGCACGGAGACGGAAAATGTAAGAAATTTGCACTAAATTTGCAATAACTTTGGTTAAAGTTAATTTTTTTTAATTTCCAAAAAAATACATATTTGTTATGAGAAAACGTAACTATTAGCGAATAAATTGTACTAGCTATAAAAATAAACTTTTTACAGCCATTTAAACATTTAATTTGTTGATAACAATTAAACTGACCACTTTCAGGCTTTGCGACCAAGTTTCTTTGGATTCAAGAGGTCAAATATTTAAGAATAAGTTGTTTGCACATCTGGCTCCTGGACTATATGGTGCACGTGTGCAAATTAAAACTGGGTTAAAAGGTTACTGAACCACAGGTTACCCTAGGTCGGAAACACGACGTACCGAGTTGTTTATTTGTCTCCGTCCCATTGTTTTTTTATGGAATATACAAGTCTCTCTTCTAATTGCAGTCAATATTTAAATACTGCATACAATTTATCCTCTCTTTATAATTTATCTAGTGAGTGTTGGTTTTTTATGACATTATTTCTGTAACGAAATTGAAATGGTTATGAAATGAAATTTAAATTATTTGAACTTTTGGGGTTTTGTAACTTCAATATTAAATCTTATTTAAAGTGAAACAGCTAATTTCTTTGCAGCCATAATAGTCACATTTGGTCAGATGAAACACACTACTACCCGCACACTACTCGTCGGTGGTATAGCTTTCAGAGGAGATTCGGTGTCAATGTCAATGGCGATCGTTTAATTGGGCCGCATTTTCTACCTGAACATCTGAATGGGCCGCGTTACTAATTTTTAGTAGAATTGTTTGAAAACCTTCCCCTTCGGGCTTACAGCAAATGTTGTTAAAATATTAAAATTATGATGCTAATAAAAACTGATTTTTGGCAAGGCATGCTCAGACCTCGAGGTTCTTGCTGGGCAACAATAACAATTTAATATGTTGATTGCATAAATAAAAAATAATTTATAGCATTTTAAATTATTATTGGCTGACGTGAGCAAAACCGTTTATTTATTGTCTTTATATGAGCGAAAATATATAAATATGGCAACGTTGCATCTAGGGCGCGTTGTTCATAGGTTCATATCGTAGCCGTGCATAATATTGTGACGTCAGCCGGTCAGTAACAGCCTGAAAAGGGGGTTAAATAATGATTTGAAAATATTTTTTTTCAGCTTAAATATGCATTTAAATTTTTTTTTAATCACGCCATCGTATTATACTCATTTTTCTCTATCTGCTCTTACAATTAATGGCATTATGACTGAATCACCCTGTATAGTGACCGTCAAAAAGTTTTCGTAACATATTTTTTTTCTATTTCTTAGATTAACGAAAATAAATATTGAGAACGTTGTAGAAATAATTAATAGTTATTAAAGTAAACATATTCAGTCATAGGTATTCTAATTGCTTCATTCATCTTATTGCTAACTTTTAATAGTTACTTCATAGATGCTCCAATGAGTATTACAAATAAAATTCGTCGGTTTGATTATACCGTTGAGTGATAACATTTTGAATGAACAAAATTATACAAGGTGTCTCTAAAGAGTCTGTACAACGCTCCACCAGATATAGTCAATTTAACTTGCCTTAGTTCAAAAATTGATAATAATGAACCTACAGGGTGTGAAAGTTGAACAAACAAGTGACAGTTTCTTTAACATCTTCCGACTACTTCGAGATAATTTCGTGATATTTCGTATCAGGGTTTTTTTTTTTGGGAGAAATTCGAGTCTATCGACGATTTCATTCAATCTTCTAGCTAGCACCACAAGTGACCATTAAGACACATATAAATTGCCTAAACTTTTTTGTGATACTGTGTAGGTCACTTTGGTTTGGAAAAATCTTTTCCCGCAAGTTTTCTTCTTAAAAAAGGTATACCTTGTTAATAGTATTCCTTTCATCGAAGAAGAACTATTAAAAATACACAAACATTAAAGAATTTAAAAAATAGCTCGATCTGATGATACTCCTTTGTTTCTAATACGAGTAAAACGTATTTTACCTTCTAGCTGATCATAGTGATAACCACGGTGGATTAAATAAAATTTTTATCTCGGAGTTCTTATAGAAGTTCCTCAAGAATCTATTTTGGGCCTGATACCGTTTATTTTATATACTAATGAATTGGATACTATATTACCCGAAATATTTCTTACTATGTGTTATTATTTCACTGAAATCTTATAATGAGTTAGAATACACATACCCTTTTCAAGGAACGCACTTATTTCAGCAACACCCTATATACTATGGTGTATCGAGTCTAGGTTTAGGTATGATTTGTGCCTATGGGGTGGATCAACCTTATTTTCAGATATTTTTATTATTAAAAAAAATCTATTAAGATGTATGGCAGGTGTTGTGAATACTGTGTCGTGTAAGAATATACAGCGTGATGATAAAGCTTTCTCTTATGAATACAGTGATGTAAGGTATAGTATATACTTTAAAAAAAGGAATTACCTCCTGCAATTGACAACAATCCGAAAATGATGTTGGTAGCAAATGAAGCATCGGAGAAAAGTATGCTCTTAATCACCCCGAAAACAGCCACAGAAGCGGCATCGTCTATGCTGGCAACGGCGATGATTAAGGTGGGGATACCTTTGGCAACGCCGTAGCTCTTTTCGCGAAGTCTCATAAGGCACGGCACCACCACTGCCGGGGAAACGGCGGCTATTATGGAACCTGTAATAAGAAGAAATTATTAAATAATCATATTTTGAATATTCCTCCATTAATAAACGGAGATGTGCCGGCAAAATTCCACCTTTACAAGAAGCAACCCTGTTAATATAGAGTAAATAATAAAGCGACAGTAATATTAAATTGTAATTTAAATTACAACCGTATTTTAATTAATTTGTATTTGAAGGTTTAATTTTATTATGAATAACGAACATTTCGTCAGCCGAACATAAATAGGGTAAAGGATTCCATACACTAAAAGTTTATGTATGAGGTCTAGTATGTAAATACAACGCTGTGCATGAACTTTGATTATTAAATTTCCATCAAATTTGTTGATTTGATTGAATTTGATGTCATATTAAAACTAACCATTAAGAATATAAATAAATAAAAACTGTACATAAAAGTTGTTCTAAGAACGAACTTAAAAGCTATAAGTTTATGTCTGGAGTACTTTGTTTTGTACCCACCTTCCATTTACTTAGAATATAGGGAAACATTAACAAAAAATTTTTGGCTAGTTTCACGATTTTATCAAAGCCGTTGTAACAACAAAATGATTTAATGCCTGCACTCTTTGTCCATGATAGGGGTGTAATAATTGTTCCCGTAGTACACGTCATACGGTACTGTTTGTTTTATACGCCAACTAAGTAACACTGCAAAACACAACGCATGTGCACAAGATGCACAGAGTTGGCTTACATTTATAGTTAATATTGTTGATTAATTTTCTCGTGCCTTCTAACATCCTTTTCAAAGAACGTACATATTTCATACCCTGTATAATCAATGATGACGTTTTCAAACTATTTTGATCAAATAAATTTGACGAAAAATTGATAGTCTGACATGGACCGTAGACAATACTAAATGGTACAGGTATAGGATATTTTTTTTTAAATAAAACCTCAGTAAAGCTGTCGTTTGTTTTTTCTTTATCTACATTTTGTAAAGATAGAGACTTTTTTGTTGTACAAATAACTTCATATCAATCCTTGACTGACTTCTGATTGCAAGAGCTTAATTATTATTGTTATTATTATACTCGACAGTATGGGCCTATTGCGAGGATACAAAAAATTTAAATAAAATTTGGGACACGTGGTGTTAAATGGGATGAGGTAAGCTCCATTTTCAATGGAAAGTATTATCTTTGGGATTTGATAGAAACGACTAATGACGTCATAAATTATATTTTTTCCAGAAACATACCCAATTGTTCAAGGTGTAAATAGATAAGTACAAAAAATTAAGAAGTGGATACCTTGTAAATTAAACGTAATCTTTCATTTAAAATAACCTCCCTCCGCTCATGCCTAAAAGTAATTTATTGCTCAATGGTTTGTCGTTGTTCACTATAAACGAATCATTAATATTAATTAAGCTAAAAATTTAGGGATTTATTTGGGAGTGCCAATTCTGCAGTGTTGGTTGTCTAAGCTACGGTCAGCAGACTTGTAATCATTTATAAAGGCTCTGTACAAAACTTGGAATGAGCGAATTGGCGATAAAAAAGTTACACAAGAAATTGCTTATAATGGTGGTCACTTCTACCCCTTGCAACCGAAAGGAAAGATCAATAAATTAATGCCTTTTCGAATATAGGAAAAGTGTACCTAATTTAACTCAATATTTGAGGAGAAAAAATAAAACTAAATTTTTCTCTCCCCGTTTGAAGAGCTATTGATACACGAGAAAGAAAGAAATTTTATACATGAAAGGTCTCAATTTTCAACCCTGTATAGTATTAATTTTATATACATTTTAAATATTTTAATCCTGTTTTACATTTACCAACTTTCGACTCAATAAACTTACCAAGAAATTAGTCTAAATATATTGGCATATTTGACCTTTCTAACATTGTATAAAATATAGTTATATGATTGCTATTATTAGGTACACAGGGTGGCCAAATGAAAACGAAACGGAGCCATTTTCAGGAACTGCGTCAAGATTGTAGAAAAACGCTCAGACCCGTCGCCGTCGATTTTAGTTTAAAGGGGGACATTATTTGCTGGTATTTTTTACTCTGACACTTTCACCCCCAAGCAAGTGTAAGCATCACCCCAAAATATTTAAATGGCATTGGGGGTTGAGTAATATTTCATTTGTAATATTTCTTTTTTCTCTTTACAACAGACTTTAAATTTTATAATTCCTCCCAATACTTATTAAGAATTTTGATTTTAAAGGTGAAACTTATGTACAAACAATTAGTTACGGTCAAAATATCAGTCTTTCGAGTTAAGTACGCCAATGGTATAAATTTAGTATTTCTTGCGTTACATTGACTTTTGGTGATTTGTTATCACTTATACACTATACACACAAAATGATCGTAAAATTAGTGGATTCCAAAGTATTTTCTAGTATTATTTGCAAGCGTTGTTTGGTAGTTTATTTAATTGTGTTTTTGAAAATTACACTATGGTTTATTCCATTCCGGAAAGGGTAGATGTCATTTCGCTTTACTTTATGAACAATAAATGTGCGAATAGAACAGCTCAGCTATTTAATGAACAATATCAAGAGCGACATGTCAGGAGGAAGTATGTTCTAGAGTTAGTAAAATAATTTCAAGAGACAGGGAACGTATCCAATAAAAAACGAGAAATTGAAAAACCTATAGTTAATGAGGCTAGTGAAGTTGCAGTTTTGGGGCAAGTTCATCTTGATCCTATATTAAGTACGAGGCAGCTAGCATCTGTATCTGTTATCAATCGATCTAGCATACAAACCATTTTGAAGAAGAATAAATTCCATCTATACAAAATACATTTAGTCCAGGAACTTCATGAGGATGATTATGATCGCCGTTTGCAATTTTGCGGATTAATGAGTGAGCGAACAAGGAACGATCCACAGTTCCTTTTGAACATCTGTTTTTCTGATGAATGTAGTTTTTTCTTGAACGGGAGGGTAAATCGTCAAAATTGCCGCTATTGGTCCGATTCAAACCCAAGAGTTTTTCACGAGGTGCATACCACAGCAACCGGAATAATTAAATGTATGGGCTGGAATTTTCGGTGACCGGTTGGTGGGTCCTTTTTTTCTACCTGGTAATTTGACTGGACAAATGTATTTGCAATTACTGGAAAATGCTATTGACCCTGACATTACTGATATTATTGAAAATGTTCTAGAGTATGATGAAGATCATTTGATTTTTCAACAGGACGGTGCTTCTCTGCATTATGCGTTAATTGTCCGTCAATATTTGGACCTACGTTTTCTACGGAATTCCGCGATTACCGGATTTATCACCCCTTGATTTCTTTTTCAGCGTCGCTGGAAGATTTGCGTCAAAGTATATGCCGTCGAATAACTTCGGAAATGCTTCGGAATGTGCGTGAACGTTTCGAACAAAATCTTTATTCTTGTATGGAAGCGGGCGGTCATCAGTTTGAACATTTAATCAAATAAGTAGTAAGTAAGCAACTAAACATAATTTAAATTTTGAAATGTAAATATTTTTCAAAGTATTGGTTGTAATTATAAAATTTAAAGTCTGTTGTAAAGAGAATTGTAAGAGCTTTCAAAAGAAATATTACTCAACCCCCAATGTCATTTAAATATTTTGGAGTGACGCTTACCCTTGCTTGGGGGTGAAAGTGGCGGAGTCAAAAATACCAGCAAAGAATGTCTCCCTTTAATCTAAAATCGACGGGTCTGAGCGTTTTTCTACAATCTTGACGCATATCCTGAAAATGGCTCTGTTTCGTTTTTATTTCGATACATATATTATTATGTATATTACAGATTAGGTAAATTGTATATTATTAAATCTATAAAATTGTATTAATTTTAGTACTGCAATTATGTGTTTATTATTATATTCTAATTGTTATTATTATTACATTAGTGTCTTTATTCCTAAAGTTGATATCTCCATATTTGATAAATATATGGCCCAATTTATTGTTAACAGTTTATTGGTAAATGGTTTAAGTTATGAATATTGACAGAAAATATTAATTTACTACTGCTTTATGACGAGACATATTGCGTAGAAAATATAAATTATCCTTAATCCCAAAAAGATGTGTATCAAATCAGATGTTAGATACTGAGGTTGCAAATTACCTTTTAATCTTACAGCGGAGATTAATAGTGAAGCCGATGTGATTGATTTTGTTGGCTAGTTAAATGCCAATAAAAAAATAAAAATGCGTAACATTTTATTGTAGAACTTTGGTCTGGGATTACAAGAACGATATGCTAATTGTCAGATATGAATTAAAGAATTTTATCAAGGAAAATATATGAAATATGAAGTGTGTATCTCTTTAAATATAAACAAATCACAATCTGTAATCAAATGAAAATATTTTCAAAAAAGATGTAGATACACATACTTGGCAAGAATGTCATTACAAATAATACAGAGTGTTACAAATAACGAATTGTTTGGCAGAAAAAAATTTGACTTTCCTTATACCATTTCTTATTTAGGTGCTTCATTTCGAATATAAAAAGTGTCAAAATTGCAATTAAAAAAGAGATTTTTATTAATAACTCCGTTGTTTTCAAAAATATTCAGATGAAATTTTACACTGACTTGTACTTTATGAAGACACATCTTTTGTGTAGTTTTGGTAAAAAAATCCTCAACAGAGGAAAGGGGGGGGGGGTCGTAATACCTATTGTATCCCTCGGTTGTAATTCAAAGTTCGATTTTTAAATCAGAAACTTCCTTACTCTATTTTTAGCACTTGCAAAATTTTAATTTAGGTTTTGGTATACAAGATTTTGTAAAAGTTTTGATATTGATCCACCTTCTGTTGTTAAAAACTTAACGGACTAAATGTTCGCGGATAGTATCAATCAATAGTATCCTTCTAATTTACATTTTTATTTGTTTAACATATCTGGTATAAATTATTAATTTCAACATTCATTTATTATTTCTCTCTTGTTTGAACTGGAATTAAGTTAACTTAAAATCTTAAAGCTATTCAATATTCTCAAGGTAGATTAAGTGAATTGGGATTACGATTCAACAAAGACCTTGTCCCCATTAAAGTCAATATTTCAAAATACTGAATTCTTTGTAGAATGCAAAGGTCATTGTCTAAAACAAAAGAACAACATACCCAAAGAAACAACACTAGGTACCTGATGAACCATTATTCATAAGCATGCGCTGGAAAGAGTTGGGGGTCAATGGGAACTACTGCTCCCCTTTCCTCCGTTCGCTAAACGACTATTTTGCCCAAAATTACACAAAAGGTGTGAACAAGCAATCTTCTTTAAATTGTAATTTTGACGGCCCGTATCATGAAAAATAGATACGTAAATGAAAAATGGGATAAGGAAAGTTCCATTATTTTTTAAGAATCTGTTGATTCTACTTTAACTTTACAAATTGACTGTGTGAGAGAAATGATATATTGGTATTTTAGTGGAATATCTAATATCTAATATCTAATTGTAAAAATAATGCAAGTATAATAATTGTTCATCGAATAAACAATTCTTACCTAGAAGTAGTGCGTAGGTCCACGATAGATCTAGGAAAAATTTCGATAAAACCATTATGGAACACATTTCCACGGTAAATGGTATCAGGGACAACTTAAGCACAGGGATGGTCAGTCTTTTTAAAGCCACAGGGTCTACATCTAACCCTGCTCGGGTAAGGATAATCACTAGTGCAAGGTGGCTGTAAAAAATAAAAAATTGTAAAACAAGCTTCAATTTTGTTATACAGGGTGTTTTTAAATGAAGTAGCAAAAATGGTACCAGTGAATGTAGAGCCAAAAAATAAGAGAATTGAAGTAAAAATAACTTATATGAAAGTTGCACTCCTGCGGCGATATATCCTCTTAAAGGAGGGGATTGAAATTCACATTTTAATTTTTTTCTTTAACATGAGGAATGCTAGAGACACAAAACTTAGTATGAGCATCCTACTAATAAAGAGACAACTTTTCAAATTTTTTTCGATCATTGACGTATTTTATAAAGGAGTGAAACAGTCAACCCCATTGCAATATTTTATTAGAAATTTCTAATATGAAGCAAATTATTTATTTAAAAATATTTTTTGGGAAGGCTGATTTATTGCGCAACTTTTTTACCTCCTGTAATTTTTTGAGAAAACCGATAGTTTTCTAGTAAAAAAGTTAGATGCGTCATCGTTCACTAAAGGGGTAATTGCGAAAATTTGTAAAAACAAAGTAAGCCAATGTCATAACACATAAATTATTATTTATCATATTAATAAATTGACACTTTCTGACAATAAGCTCGTAATTTAATAATAACATTAAGAATAATTTGCCATTAGTTAATGAAAAATATGACTATGGGACATGTATTAGGTAAAGTTATTCATCTGAAATAAAATTTAATACAAACGAAAAACAATAATTTCCATTTTGCTGCAAGCATAACCTAATACGTCTGTTGAAGTTATAACGCACTCGCACAAACAGTTCTTGGTTATTACGAAGGTTATCTGCTGCCTGAAATATTCTTAAGCGTAGTTCTTCTAAGGAAGCAACAGGAGTTGCATAAACAATACTTTTTATGTGTCCCCAAAAAAGAAATCCATAGGCGTTAGGTTAAATTTAACCATTCCCTAACGGCAAGTGTACTGTGTGCCCCATCGTGCATATATCACATCACCTGACGTGTAGCGAGGGGTACATCCTCAAGTAATGTTGGAAGATTTTCGTTAAAAAATCTAAGATACTCGGCCGCTCCGAGCCCGTGTGGAAGAATAAAAGAACCTACTACAGTATTTCCTACAATTCCCATCCAAACGTTTAAACTGAAATTATGTTAACATCTTGAAACAGATATTTCATGACTATTTTCTTCCAACCGTGAATGAACCTTATGAAGGTTTACTGCACCTACTCTAGGAAAATTTACTTTATCGGTGAAAAGTATATTCATTAGGAAATTTAAGTCATGCCTGGAAATATTAATGTACCATTGACAAAAATCCACGCGGTTAGGTAAATCAGGGTCATTCAATTCTTGCACGGATTGATGGTAAAAAGGGTATAAAAGATTTTCATGAGCTACATTCCACTTGCAGTTGTTTGGACACTTGTCTTGTGCTTGTACCANCCACAGGGTCTACATCTAACCCTGCTCGGGTAAGGATAATCACTAGTGCAAGGTGGCTGTGAAAGATAAAAAATTGTAAAACAAGCTTCAATTTTGTTATACAGGGTGTTTTTAAATGAAGTAGCAAAAATGGTACCAGTGAATGTAGAGCCAAAAATAAGAGAATTGAAGTAAAAATAACTTATATGAAAGTTGCACTCCTGAGGCGATATATCCTCTTAAAGGAGGGGATTGAAATTCACATTTTATTTTTTTTTTTTAACATGGGGAATGCTAGAGACACAAAACTTGGTATGAGCATCCTACTAATAAAGAGACAACTTTTCAATTTTTTTTCGATTATTTTCATATTTTATAAAGCAGTGAAACAGTCAGCCCCATTGCAATATTTTATTAGAAATTTCTAATATGAAGCAAATTATTTATTTAAAAATATTTATTGGGAGGGCTGATTTATTGTGCAACTTTTTTACCACCTGTAATTTTTCGAGAAAACCGATAGTTTTCTAGTAAAAAAGTTAGATGCGTCATCGTTCACCAAAGGGGTAATTGCGAAAATTTGTAAAAACAAACTAAGCGAATGTCATAACAAATAAATTGTTATTTATCATATTAATAAATTGACACTTTCTGACAATAAGCTCGTTATTTAATAATAACATTAAGAATAATTTGCTATTAGTTGATGAAAAATATGACTATGGGACATGTATTAGGTAAAGTTATTCATCTGAAATAAAATTTAATACAAACGAAAAACAAGAAATGCAAAATTAAATTTAAAGAATATTCTCGAAATAATTTCCATTTTGCTGCAAGCATAACCTACCTAATACGTCTGTTGAAGTTATAACGCACTCGCACAAACAATTCTTGGTTATTGCGAAGGTCATCTGCTGCCTGAAATATTCTTAAGCGTAGGAAGCAACAGGAGTGGCATAAACAATACTTTTTATGTGTCCCCATAAAAAGGAATCCATAGGCGTTAGGTTAAATTTAACCATTCTCTAACGGCAAGTGTACTATGTGCAGGCGCCCCATCGTGCATATACCACATCACCTGACGTATAGCGAGGGGTACATCCTCAAGTAATGTTGGAAGATTTTCGTTCAAAAATCTAAGATACTCGGCCGCTCCTACAATTCCCATCCAAACGTTTAAACTGAAATTATGTTAACATCTTGAAACAAATATTTCATGAGTATTTTCTTCCAACCATGAATGAACTTTATGAAGGTTTAATGTACCTACTCTAGGAAAATTTGCTTCATCGGTGAAAAGTATATTCATTGGGCTGAATTTTACCAGTTTCGCGAAGCCTTCTGTCCACCGAAGCCAATGTTTGTCTATGAGGAATCGGTTGGTTTGGATATCTTTGGTGGTACAATCTTACTGCAGCGTTGTTATTTTTTCTGGATTCGAAAGACACTTGGAGCATGTCGACATATTCGTCATTGGTATAAATATTATTTGCTATAATTATTCTGATAATAAATTAATCAATTGGTACTAATTATTGATTGACAGAAAGTGTTAATTTATTAATATGTTAATTAACAATTCATTTATTATGACATCCGCCTACTTTATTTTTAAAATTTTTCGCAATTACCCCTTTAGTAATTTAAATAAACGATGACGCATCTAATTTGTTTACTAAAAAACTTTCGGTTTTATCGAATGTATAGGACGTTAATGATATGCTCTGTCAAACTTTAGTGGTCTACATAAAAAATCTATAAGAAAATTCCTATCAATATGTGTCCAGAAACACTTTTTGAAATGTCATAACATGATGTGATTTATTTTTTATTTACGTCCAAATTACAAATTATCCATTTTAACGAAGCGTGCTTTGAAAACAAAACATCCAATGATTACATAGCCACACACAAAAAAAAAAGTTGGGTATACTTTTTATGCGATATATATTTTTCGTAGTAAGTTGGCCTCCTGAACACGAATCTAGGGTCAGAATTGGCCCATCACGTCACAATTTTTTCCTAACCTCAAAAAACTTGTGAAAAATAGTGAAAATTGATGAAAATTTACTGGGAAAATTTGGAAAAAATTTTATTTCCACATCAAATAGTACATTTTTATGTAAAAGACTCTACTGAATTCAAATCCGCTGTAAGAATTGAGCTAGAACGTGTGGTTTTTCTTTCTAACCTCAAAAAACCGAGCAGGAATCGCTATTTTCAAATTCTGAGCGGATTTTGACCAGATTTTGTATAAAGGTGTTTTTTGGGTCGCTGATTACGAATATGAATTCACATTGTTAAAATTCAAGATGGCTGATCCAATATGGCGGGTGTACTTTTTTGAAATCCACCGATTTCAGTAAAATTTGGCATCATAAGGATTGCTGGTTGATCTCACCTTCATTAATCACACATCTGGAGCCAGATTTTCATAAATCAAGGTAAAAGATTCCACTCCGTCTAAAAATGTGACTTCGCTTAAAAAAATGACTTAAGGACTCTACACATGTAATGATGTGTAGTGTGATGTGCTTGTTTCCATGGGACAAGACAAAAAAGTTTCTACTTTATTCTTTCATTTATTTAGTCGTGCATGGGCTTATGGTTTTCCAATCAGATTTTTTTAACTACTATGCAGTTTTCCTATGGCATTTAGATGCTTTTATTTCTTAATAATTTTAAAGTTCAAGGAAAAGGACACATTACTGCCACACAGCACATCACTGCATCTGCTTATGCCTTCAATCTAAAAATGTGACTTTGCCGAAAAAATGCCGCCTACTCGGCCTAAAATTATGACTCTGCCTACAAATTTTACCTTGATTTATGAAAATCTGGCTCCAGATGTGTGATTAATGAAGGTGAGATCAACCAGCAATCCTTATGATGCCAAATTTTACTGAAATCGGTGGATTTCAAAAAAGTACACCCGCCATATTGGATCAGCCATCTTGAATTTTTACAATGTGAATTCATATTCGTAATCAGCGACCCAAAAAACCCCTTTATACAAAATCTGGTCAAAATCCGCTCAGAATTTGAAAATAGCGATTCCTGCTCGGTTTTTTGAGGTTAGAAAAAAAACCACACGTTCTAGCTCAATTCTGACAGTGGATTTGAATTCAGCAGAGTCTTTTACATAAAAATGTACTATTTGATGTGGAAATAAATTTTTTTCCAAATTTTCCCAGTAAATTTTCATCAATTTTCACTATTTTTCACAAGTTTTTTGAGGTTAGGAAAAAATTGTGACGTGATGGGCCAATTCTGACCCCAGATTCGTGTTCAGGAGGCCAAATTACTACGAAAAATATATGTCGCATAAAAAGTATACCCAACTTTTTTTTGTGTGTGGCTGTGTTATACGAAATTTTGACAGTTCTGTTCTCAACAGCAATGTCAAAGGTCAATTGCATTTTTGTTATCTAAATCTTGATATTGTGAATTAAAATTTAACTGAGTTGTAAAAAGTAATTGTTATATGATTTATTTCCAAAGCATTTCTATGATGTTTTGACAAAAAAAAGAGGCAAAACATTTCATATCTTAATCAGGAAAATGCAGAAATCTTATATGGCCCCATAAAAAAAGGTGGTAGGCTAATACTAATAATGTCATAATAACCGATGACCGATCTTATATCTCTTAAGATAACCGAGACCCTGTTGGTGCAGCCTAAAAATACGGGCACTCTATACAAAAATTGAAATAATTATACTTGTAATGTAACCACAATCTGTTAATTTGATATTAGTAGCTGTATTGTACAAAAATTTATAGTACCAAATAATTAAGATATAGATTAAATAATTTTAATCCTATGTTTAATCCTTTTATCAGTTCCGGAAATAATAGACTCAAAGTTTTCTAACCCAAATAATGAAATATCAATTTATCTTTATTTCATTAGGAGTTCCTCATCGAAAACATTAATATCAGTTTTTGCCAAAAAAAGGAATCTTACCAAGATATATGATTAATAAAGAAAAAAGAAGCAAAATTATTCTGTTAAAGTTTTAGTGACTTTTAAATAACTCAACAGGATTAAAATCTGGGTATACTGCTGACCATTGCACTGCTATTTTTGTTCACCAAACTGACATCTTCCAAATTCTAATAATCTAATGAGATATAGCTCTGGTTCATTACAAAAAAGGAAGAAACATGGATTAAATTAACTTAAATAACATGTCATTTAGAACGCATTGTGAGAGATAAAGAGATATTCCTTTAACACCTCATATTCAAGTCTGATTTTTTATTCTCTGCAATAAATCTTGATAATATGATCTACCAATATTAATATTGATTTATTGCAATGATCCCTTTAAAGTAATAATAAAAAGCAAATTAATACCCGACTTCGCTTTTAATCTCAGCAAAATCTTCGTCAATATCCACTATGTTGACGTTTTGAAGAAGCATGCCAGTAAACAACATCCCGACCAGCGGAGGAAAAGTGGTCAGGCTCATCAACCAACCCCCAAAATATGAGCAAATTGTCAGCAAAATCAGCTGGTACAACATGCCATCTGGGGGTGCAGCAATATCGCCGACGATGGCGTAGAGTATGATATAAGCCAGTACGCATATTAGGGTTAGAGAAACGATCCTGGAAAACTTGCGGTATCTGAGGAAGTACGGATGGGGACATAATTTGGGCCAGAAGTTTGGCTCCCACGAAGGTACGTCATCTTTGGTGTGGCATTTGAGGCAAAAGTTGTAGAACCAACCCCTGGCAAAGTAAAAAAATATTAATAAAAATGATGTCAGCTAGGTCTAGTACAAATCATCATGATGTAACTATTAATATGATGGTATAATTTCAACTTACTTGTCGCCATCTTCATCTTCTTCCTTAATAGTATCCGTCCTTGAAAATACTGAATTTGTTACTGACACTTTGTGAATTTTCGAATCTCTGTTGTCTGTAACAAGATTACAAAGTTAGTAAAACTTTGCTTATTATTTGAAAGTATTTACTTGTAGTGGTGCTAGTTTTTTTGTTCCTTCTACAGACTGAAGATTGGAAAATATTTATACAAAGAATTAATAAGTAATTCCCGCGAAAAAAAGGCAGGTGTCTACTTTTGTGTAAATCCTCAAATGACATTCAAAACTAAAAGTACTGAATATATCATAATTGCTCACCGTTTTGTGCTTGAACCGAATTTGAAACGTTCAAGTAAAAAATCTCGCGCGCGACGAGGGCAACGTTAATGTGCATGCGCGAACCCCGCGCTCCTTCCATGTTCAAACCGCCATTAACGTTAATTTTACTACTGCTGTTAGCGCGTTTATTACATCAACTGTCAATATAAAACTTTTTGGGAATAAAAGTTTAACCCTTTCTTTAATTTTCTGTAAAATCCCGGTTCGATACGTCCAATAGTTGATTAACAATAAATTAACGTTACAAAAAAGCTATATTGGGAACAAAGAGTCACAGGTGATTTCCTTTTATTTAAAATTACTGTAAAAATAAGCTTAATTTAATGCAAAAAGAGCGAGTTCCCGAGCGGCCTTTGCCTGACCCTGGGACAATTTGTTGATAACTGTGTTTTGCACGTCCTACTTAGTTAGTTGTAAAGGGCAACTTCCTGAAATTTTTCTTTTTCTTTGGATCAATGAGAACCTGCAACTACTATATTAACAATTAATTAATTAACAAATACCTGGAGCAACAATTTCACGGTCAATTGAATCGACCTTTGGCACACATGTCGGTAATTGGATTGATCGTCTGTTCCATAAATTTCATGAACATCCATCACTTTTTGCAATAATAATGCGCAATTTTCGAAAACTGATTTTGCCGCGTTTGATCTTGATTTTACAGTTAACAAATTGGTGAAATATGACTTTAGATACTTTAAATTGTAGGTAATTTAATTACCTACAACATAAAATAACTAATTTTCTAGATTTTCATTGGCAGTAAAAAAGTAAAATAACACTTAAATTTGCCACTTATTTTTTGATATTATCGTTCCCTTATAAATATGATATTCTTAAAAACAGGGTCGGAATGGTCAATTACGTTCACGGTCCGATGCAGGATATACAGTATAGCCTTTATAACTGTATTATTGTAACAAATTTTTTCAGTTTGTTATTTACAATTATTTACTACTTGAGTCAGTTTTTTAATTTTTTTTAGAAATGCAATATTTACGGAGATAGCACTCCCTTCTGTTTTGCATAAACATAAAAAAAGAGGAGCTCTTGAGACAAATGACCTAAAGATAATAGTTCTACTTATCGTCAGTAAAAATTTGGAATTTTTTTACAAATTAACAACAAAACTACGACGAGTTAAAGTGAGAAGTATCAATTTTATAGGCAAAAAACCGTGATTTTCATTAATAACTAAAATATGGGATAACCAAACTAACTGAAATTTTAGCACACAATAGAGTAATAGTGAGGCTAGATATGGTCCAAATTTAATTTTTTTTTTGCCCCTACGTTTTCTTAATGTCGGTTTCCAAAGTCAGGGATCTATTAATTAATCTAATTTATATTGCTAGTAGTGAACTATAAAGTCTATGGCAAATAATAATATAAATATAACTGGTACTACTGAATAAATATTAATCATTAGATATAAAGGACGTATTAATAGCCACCAATGTACCTTTTTATGACGACACTTTGACTACATCGTCAAATATTCTTGTGTGAATAATAATTATTGTAAAACGTAAACCTGTCTAAAAGCTGTTTTACATTGACAATTTATTGATCAATTAATTGATGAAGTCGCTTAATCAAGAAATTGGACAAGTGTAATGCACCAAATCAGTTGTCAAATAACTTCATCAATTTATTCATCAAGTTCTTGACGAATTAAAGCATGTTCTAATTTTCGTCAATTTCTTCGTGAAGTTCGGAAGTACCAACCCAACAGATTTCCAGCCTCAGATCAGTAATGAGGTTATGTTATTGGAATATGTAAATAATTGTCTGGCGTCGTACTAGTTTTGCATTGTTTTTACTGATTTGTTATTTACAAAAACTAATATTTATATAATATGTGTCAGAACGGTACCACTGTTGTATCACTACAATTATGAGTGGAAAGGTGACATTTTTGAAATTTATTTGCTTCTTTGATTCATTGGTGGAACTGATTTATACGTCAAAAAACTTGACAAAGTCTGTAGCAGTGTAAAACCACACTGTTTTGCAATAAATTCGTGAATTAATTGATGAAGAACTTCGTCAATTTATTGAATAAATTGTCAATGTAAAACAGCTATAATATTTGACAGAAAATTTACAAATAAATCGGCGTTTGACAGATAATGTAGATGCCTGAATTGAATATCTAATTTATATTTCAAATCTTTTAAACTAAGGAAAATTTGGCCAAATGCTAGTATAATATTAACTCACTACCTACTGTTTTGTGTGATGTACAAACAAACTCATTATCATTATAATTTTAACTTACCATTTAAATTCGATGAACTATTCGGACCGTTCGATTCATGTATGATATTTTTTTTCCTGATTCTTTCTTCGGGGGTACCATGGGAAATCGAAGAGATTTTCCGAAAATGATGATTTTCAAAGCCCAGGTTATCGTGACCTATATCTTCATTGATGCTAACTTTCCTCAAAGCCTTCTGTTGAGTGTTGGGCATCTTACTCAAATTCTTTACAACTGATGGATATCCTGTAACAATTGTCAGAGTTAGTAAAATACAAAATACCTAAATAGAACTATCCAAATACAAAAAGGGGTATTTTTAAATCAATAAATAATTACCACTAATTTTTAATTAACTCCTTCCAATAATAGTAGACCACCTATCATTTCTTCACAATGACTGGATACTATTTCTTTATTCGTTTTCGCGTTATTAACTATTATTATCTATATCAAGTCACTTCACGGTACACGACTGTTTCATCATTAATTAGTTCGTCTTTCACATTATATCATTAAATCTTATGTTCTAGTTCCCCCTCTAGGTTAAGATTAATCGAGGATTAACCGACTGCTTTATCGGAAAAATTTTCCTGTTAAGAATGTCTCTTCTACGCATATACGTAGTAAGTTACGTTGTAGGTGTGTCATGAGGTCAACTTAATTGGTTTTTAGTGGGAGAAAGTGAAAAGTTCAATAAAAAAAGTCATGGATTAATAAGATAGGCAATTATTATACAGAATGTTTCTTGTTCAAAACATAATGAATAAATTAGAGGTCAATTTTGACCCCCTGCGAAGATATAGCAGCTTGAGGGTGACCTATCGGCAACGGATCTTAAATAACTTGTAAACCATTTGAATGATTTCTTTAACTTGATATAAAGGGTCATTTTTTAACCTGAAACTTTAAAATATCACGAGAAATAAGCACCCTACGGAAAAAATGTCAATAAACAAAATTTAATAATTCCGCGGGAGAAAAACATTTGTGCCAAAATTAACTTTGTAAAATTACTTAGGATTTGTCTGAAACATTTTATTTGATTCATAATAGATCGATTTCTCCTACTGAGAACCTATACATACGATTCTACAATATGTCTGCTACAAAAATACCACGTTTTATATAAAAAAAGGATCAACTTAAATAAAGTGACCATATAATTAATTCTTGAAAATTATTTGTTTTCTGGGTTTCTGCTCAAAATAAACACTTAGTTTATAAAACTATTATTCATTTATACATTATTTATAACGATAGTTTCGGGTTTTATCCCATGCTGTTGTCTGAAGATGAGATAAAACCCGAAACGATCGTAATAAATAATGTACACATGAATAATACTTTTATAAACTAAGTGTTTATTTTGATCAGCAACACAGAAAATAAATAATTTTCAAGACCTAGGACCAACATAATTTACCTACATTATCTCAGTGTATTTCTACTTAAAGTTAGGTTAGATTAGATTAAGTTTTTAAGTCGTATAAAGAAAAACTTTACTGAACTTCATAAATCTCTAGATAAAGGCGGGTGGCGTCTGTATGATATAAGACATATATAAAGTAAGGTTAGAATGCCTTATATTTATATAAAAGGAATTCTTAACCCTCAAAGATCACACTAGTGCGAATTCGCACCAACGTTAATTCCTTCTATAGCCCAAACAGTCGCGCCGTATCACAGCTGGCCTCAGTCTGTTAATTGCCGATCAAACTAGACAGTCTGAAAAGTCCGATCGGTGCGAATTCGCACTAGTGTGACTTTAGTGTGGGCAAAAGTGTGGCTGAATTTATATCTTATAATCTATAAATAAAGTCAATTGAAATGAAAATTTCCGATTTTTTTACCTCATTTTATGTTTCGAATAGACTAGAACCAGAACATTTTTTATTTAGTTATTGTTAATAATTTGTCAAATATATATTTTTTCATTAATGGTTTAATTAAAACATGTAAATTAATATTTTTATACAAAAAAGTGCAAAATTAACATTTAAAGAATAGGAGGCAAAAATGATGACTTCAAAAAATGCATATATTCGAGATAGCGAAAAAATCGCTTATATCATTTTATAAATATGGGGTATTTTTTCTTATAAATATAGACTTTGAACTTCAAAATCCGTTGAAAATATGAATTTAAAAAAAGTAATTTTTCAAAAAATGTTTTATTTTCAATATTAACAAATTATTATTTTTTTCAAACCTAATTACATCAATTGATTTCTCAGAAAATTTTACTCCAGTTTTGATATAAATACGTCATATTTTCGTCAACAAATAAAGAAGACAGAAAGGTTCAAAGTTGACAAAATAGTGTGACCTTTGAGGATTAACCTGACCTAACATAACTTTACATATAGAAATAGATTTCAGTATACAATTAGGTTAGGTTAAGAGTCTTTTATGTAATATATAACACAAAGTTAGATTAGGTTTAAGTTAAGTTTTTGTTAGTAATGCATAAGAAAACCTATTGTAGAAATTTATATATAATCTATATAAGCAGTTCAATTTATTTCATTTCTAGAGAAACCAAACTCAAATTAATGACATTTAGCGACAACATTAAACATTTTTGGATGTTTTGTCCTAAGTGTTAACAAAATTGGTATTATGGTCTAATATTTTCCATTTAGGAAACACATCGGAAAAATTTGTTTACTAAATTTTTACCCTAAATTAGGTCCAGGTTTTTTATTATTCGTTAGACATTTTATATTGACTTAAAAATGAAAAAAAATGGGAGGAACATTATTTTTCATAGGTGAAGAAACATAAACATAAAGAATATGTGAAAATTTTTTTGCCTGTTGGAAAATGCAAATTTTCACAATCTAGCGTGAAAAATTATATTGGTTGCAAAATGTTATAGCTTTTTTGTTAGATTAAATACTAAAAACTGGCACTAATTAATTCCCACTCTGTGTTTTATTATTATATTGGCTCTTATTTTTGGGACATCATATACATATTTTCCAATTTTACTCAGAAATCGCAACCTTTGTACAAATATTTCAAGACATTATTTTTATTCATTGCCATCACTTTTTCATTGACATTTTCTTCAAGCTTAGCATGGAATGAGAATTATCCCCTAGTGTGTTAGTAAAAATAAGGTATAAAGTCTCATACCTAAGTACAAAATGGGTGGGATAGGATGTCAACTCTAAAACACAAAAACAAACTTAAATATCATATATTGAAAATATCTTCTTGCCATAAGAAAAAGAGAAAAACAGGTTATCAAGGAATCTCAATTTCTAACTAATCAAAAATTATTTTGTTAAGATAATTTTCATACATTTATTAGATCCTGATATAATCAATTGAAATTATAATGTCTTTTACTAAAGCTGGGGTCACACTTACGTTAACGTGTAACGTCCATTATCGCGATGATTATTGCGTTAAAAATAATATATTACCTAAATTACGCGGTTAAACTGAATAGCTACACTTGTGTTTGATGTCTATTCAACAAATAATGCGTTGTTTGATAAAATAATTTCATCATGGAAATTGAGGCCGCTTTACAGTTGTATTATATGATCGGCAATTATTATTTTATGCTTTTTTGTCTAGAATCTGTTTGAAACACTTTTAAAAACAATATTATTTTTTTGTTAGATCACTCCATTTTTATGCAACCATGCTCGAAGCTTTAATGCATTGCAATAGACAGTGCTAGTGTAGCCACATCAATGCGATAAATGACGCGCAAGTCGCTTTGATATGCCAAAAATGACCGACACTCGTATTATCGCCTAACGTCTAACGCCATTAATAATGACGATGATAAATTAGCGGCTAAGTCATGATTACACCTACGTTTAATGCAAGATCGTGCGATAATTAACGGCATTAGGCGTTAGTGTGTCCCAGCATCATCGCCTAACGTCTAACGTTATTAATAATGCCGATGATAAATTAGGACGTTAAGTCGTGGTTACACCTACGTTTAATGCAAGATCGTTCGATAATTAACGGCATTAGGCGTTAGTATGCCCCAGCATTATCGCCTAACGTCTAACGTTATTAATAATGCCGATGATAAATTAGGGCGTTAATTTGTGGTTACACCTACGTTTAATGCAAGATCGTGCGATAATTAACGGCATTAGGCGTTAGTGTGTCCCAGCATCATCGCCTAACGTCTAACGTTATTAATAATGCCGATGATAAATTAGGACGTTAAGTCGTGGTTACACCTACGTTTAATGCAAGATCATTCGATAATTAACGGCATTAGGCGATAGTATGCCCCAGCATTATCGCCTAACGTCTAACGTTATTAATAATGCCGATGATAAATTAGGGCGTTAATTTGTGGTTACACCTACGTTTAATGCAAGATCGTGCGATAATTAACGGCATTAGGCGTTAGTGTGGCCCAGCATTATCGCCTAACGTCTAACACCCTTAATAATGACGATGATAAATTTGGGCGCTAAGTCGTGGTTACACCTACGTTTAATGCAAGATCGTGCGATAATTAACGGCATTAGGCGTTAGTGTGCTCCAGCATTATCGCCTAACATCTAACGTTATTAATAATGCCGATGATAAATTAGGACGTTAAGTCGTGGTTACACCTACGTTTAATGCAAGATCGTGCAATAATTAACGGCATTAGGCGTTAGTGTGGCCCAGCATTATCGCCTAACGTCTAACGCCATTAATAATGACGATGATAAATTTGGGCGCTAAGTCGTGGTTACAACTACGTTTAATGCAAGATCGTGCGATAATTAACGGCATTAGGCGTTAGTTTGCCCCAGCATTATCGCCTAACATCTAACGTTATTAATAATGCCGATGATAAATTAGGACGTTAAGTCGTGGTTACACCTACGTTTAATGCAAGATCGTGCAATAATTAACGGCATTAGGCGTTAGTGTGGCCCAGCATTATCGCCTAACGTCTAACGCCATTAATAATGACGATGATAAATTTGGGCGCTAAGTCGTGGTTACACCTACGTTTAATGCAAGATCGTGCGATAATTAACGGCATTAGGCGTTAGTTTGCCCCAGCATTATCGCCTAACATCTAACGTTATTAATAATGCCGATGATAAATTATGACGTTAAGTCGTGGTTACACCTACGTTTAATGCAAGATCGTGCGATAATTAACGGCATTAGACGTTAGTGTGACCCTAGCATAAGAAAGAATTTTCATACCATCAAAATATGCTTAATTTTATTGTTATCCAATAATTCTGTGTTTTTTGTTGTCAAATTGTTTGTGATTTTCATTTTAATTGACTAACACGTATTATGCCGTAGTGTCATCAGGTTTTGATAAATTAATCAATACTTGCTGATTTGGAAGGTGAAGTGATAATGCTTAATCTATTGTGAATAATAACATGATAAATTCAGGATTATCTGTTTTGAGCCTAAACAAATACACAACAGAGGCTGTCAGAATCATTACATCTTGTATTTTCCACATCAA